TTACCACTGGTATATTTTCAAGTGTCACATCTTTATTTTCAGTATCAACTACATAATCCAAGTAACCCTAACAAACATTTCTTCAACAACTTTCTAGTTTGTGTAGCTGAAATGAGACAGTTCGGAATAACATTTCTTTCCCCAATAAATCTGAACTCTGGCTCCCCAGTATCTGAAATGCAACTTCTTTCCGGAAACAATCTATTGAAGCATGATATAGAGATAACCAATTCATACCCAAAATGATATCAAAGTCTGGTATACTCAACGGTATCAAATTCACTTTTAACTGTCTATCTCCCAATTGCAATACACAATCCCGATATTCATTTGCAACCACTACCACTTCCCCCATTGGTGTATAAATAAATAATTTACTATCTAGTAATGAAAGTGGTCTACCCAAATGCATAGTAATAGATGATGTAACAAATGAACGGGTTGAGCCAGGATCAATAAGCACAGTAACATTTTTATCCAAAATAGAAAGTGTACCTATCACCACTTCTGGTGTTGCTTGAGCATCCTGAAATGTCATAGCAAACACTTTTCCCTGGGCATGCGAACCACTTATAGCACTCCTACCTCCTCTTGACGAGCTCCCCTGTGCAAAACCTCTACCAGAACCAGCAACACTACCCACTGAAGTCACTCATGTCAACATAGGACATTCTTTTTTCCGATGGCCAGGCTGATGGCAGTGATAACACTCTTCTGCTTTCAATACAGGACAATCCTTCTTCTGATGGCCTTCCCTTCCACACTGAAAACACCCCCTGCCAGTACCACGTCCTCCAAAGCTACCTTGTTGTACAGATTGTTGTTCGTAAAACCTTTAACCTTTTCCAATACTTGATGTTTACCCTTGAGATTCACTACCCCTTCCTCTTCCATACCGTGACCTTTAACTTTTCTGACTTGAAATTCCTTCACCTCCTCTTGATTGTGATGGCTCAGATCTATGCATTTTGTATTATTCCCTTCTTTCTTGCAATTCTTTCACATCCTTTTCGGCAATCATAGCTTTATTAACAAGTCTATTGTAATTTGTTTCCTCAAAAAATGAAACTCTGAACTTAATAGCAGCCTCTAACCCATCTTGGAATTTTGTACATTTATCTTCTTCATTCTGTACAAACTTAGGTGCAAACCTCGATAAAGCTGTAAACTTAACTTCATAATTAGCTACAGACATTCTATCTTGTTTTAAGAGAATAAACTCCCGTTCTTTCTCTTTTCTGTAAATTAGAGGGAAATATTTCTCATAAAAAGCTTTAACAAATGGATTCCAGAATATCACCTCTTTTTCTCCTGGAGTAAGCAATAAATGTTTTGTCATGTCCCACCAATAACTAGCTTCATTTTTTAACATAAATGTGGCTAAGTTTACTTTCTGATCTTCTGTTGCACCCATCACTGCAAATATTGAGTCCATTCTTCTTACCCACCCCTTTGCTTCTTCTGGTTTGGTAGTACCTGAAAATTCTGGGGGTGTTAACTTTATAAACCTCTCATAATCTGAACCTTTCTTTCCTTTTTGCTGCCTCTCTAGCCTTTCTTGCATTATGATTTTACTTGGCATAAGTTGTTTATTTTGTTCTGCCAAGTCTGTTATAGCCTTCTCCATTTTCTGCATATCAGTTAACTGCTTCTATTTTCTTCCCATATCACCCTGAATAGGTTGTTCTACTTCAGCCTCAATAAGAACATAGAAGGCTTCTTCCTCGATTCTATGATAACCACTTCCTCCTTCCATTACTTTTTATCTGCAATGAATCTCAAATATAACAAAATATACATATAATACATAATCACCACATATATTTGTTAGTATAAAATCAAGTCAAAGAAATGACTTTACTACACATTTCCTACTGCCACTGCCAGTTTAGACTCTTACTACCTCTAGAACCTAGAAAACCTAGACTCTGATACTAAAAGTTGACACACCCCAACTCAATATACAATATTTAATAAATGGAACAATTGGAATGTATCTAACTATCTGCGCTAACCTCATACATACGTGACATCGTCATATATCAGAGTGCCTGCTTAAAAGTTTACAATTAAAGATAAACTATAAATCCACCTTGCACGTTCTAAGAAACCTATACAATTAACTACAAGTCACAATATTAAATTCTACTATAATATTTACATTTTATACAAAAGACATTGCATTGTTCTTTCCCCTTTTCACACTTAAGACTCTAGACCTGGCAGTAGCAACCCAACTTGATACCTAAAAAATATAGATATGGAAGGAGTGAGCTTAAAGCCCAGTGAATGCAACATTACTACATCAGAGTAATATAAACAAATATTATCTGATAACTTCAATTAAACTTCATAACATATAACTTCCAGCTTTACAGGCATTTAAAATATAATACTCTCCTTCTAGGCTAGAGTATGAACCTTTTATAGTATAATACTTTCTTTCTTGGCCAGAGTATGAACCTTATTTAAATATAGTACTCTCCACCTTATTTATATAGTACTCTCCTTCTAAGCCAGAGTATGGACCTTAAATAATATATTACTCTCCTTCCAGGCCATAGTATGGACCTTATATAATATATTACTCTCTTTTTAGGCCAGAGTATGGACCTTATATAATATAATCAAGTTATATATATTTATCTCTATTTCACATAAACAACTTCAATACTTCAATTAAACACATCCAAGTATAAACTTCCAGTGAGTACGCACACCTTAGCTACTTTTCAATTTATTTAATTGTCCTTCCGTATGGTTGTACCTTCTGTCTCATTCTCCTTACCTTTGGTATTGGTCAATAAGAATTCGAAAGAGAATTCGTTCCCTTTTTCCTCTTCTTTTATTTTCCCCTTCTTGCTTGTTCTCAAACGAGCATTATTTCTGGTCTATTAGTGTGTTCAGAACTATATCCGCAATGAACAAGACTTTTAAATATATATACTACCCTCTTGTACGCAGTCGGTTAACACAACTTCTATTAGAAACTTACTTTTTTTAAAATAAAAGCCAAGCAAACACACTACACATATGCTGCCACACTCATACCTACGTGTTCAAAGGTCCAAGTGCATGTTGTCTTGTGCTGGCAGAAATTTGTCTTTTACTAAGCTTGAAGCTTTACTCCACTTATAATATATTATTATGTATATATTAGTCAAACCACAAGGTTTTCTTCAAACCTTTAAACCACTTAATAACATAAATAATATCTATCTAGAAACTTCAAGCACCAACAAAGAGAAGTGTGAAAATCTCCACATATATCTTCATGTGATAATACATACTGTGTATTTATATATATAAATTTATCACCTCATGGGCACAGCCATTTACACTTACAATTACCACACACACACACACCACCTGGTATCAAACACACCCACAGACAACTTCGGTACATACTTATTTCATGGTATTCCATCAACACAAATGTATCACTCTTTCCACTCCCATCAGTTATATTATTAATATTATTTCCAATTGGGTTGTAATTAGTAAGCTTGATACAAAATTTAAAAGTCACAGAATAAACTATTCCATATAATATTCATATATGTATCATGACAAATTGAAATTAAATTATACTAACCAAATTAATTTTTGTATCAGAGTATTACAGGTCTAATCTTAAATAGTAACATATAAGTATAATATTTACCAAGAATAATAAACTGTGGAAATTTCCTACTGGCCATTAAAATTGTTCGGTTCATTTCTTAAAGCACTTATTCGATCTCCGAGGGGTGCATGCCCATACGAATCTGAATTCGAGTGACCAGTTTAAAGATGACGCCTGATATTCCTTTATGCTGGATCTTTTTTTTCCAAATACACATTTTTCTAAAAATCGTGCATTATTACAACTTTGAGTAGGTTAAAAAATTAGTTTTCATAATTTTAAAATCTAAAATTATCGCCAGACAAAGGGACTGAGCATCATAGTGTTTAAACTCTGAATCTAATCAATAGAGATTGATCAATGTCCAGGAACATTACATCTGTTGATGTAAACTTATGTGGAACCATTTTAAAAAGGGCTTTTTTTAAATTAAAATTAAAAAAAAAAAAAAACTATTTCGAAATTCACCTTTTGTAAATAACTTAAAGAACATTTTCATAAGTATATTTTTAGGATCTAATAAGTCAAAGTAATGGGAAATAAAAAGAAAAATAAGCAATTTACGACTCTGTTTGTTTAGAAGTACAATATTTTTTAGCAAATATTTTTTTATTTTTTTGATATTTAATTATCTTAGTATTAACTTCAACTTCAATATAAATCTTTATCAAAAAAAATAAAAATAAAAAATATATTTTACTAAAAAAAAAATATTTTTCAAAAAATTATTTTAGCTCGATGGAGCGCACATGTACAAGGTTTTACATATGCTACAAACATTGTCCCTCAAAACAAAAGATCTTTTGTTTATGACTGTGTAAGATATACTCCGAAAAAATAAAAAAAAATAAAAAAATCCCTCAAAACAAAAAATCTTTCGTTAATGACTGTGTAAGATATAATCGAATTTTTTTTTTTGAGATAGACATTTACATATAAATATAAGTATGTTTTTGAATGGGTCAAAGCACATCCGTGATTTTAGGAGATTATAGTATACTTTTCAGGCAATCAATACTCTCAAGATATTTGGAACATTCTCATTAGAAATTCATTATATCTAAGCAATCAATACTCTCAAGACATTTGGAACATTCTCAATAGAAGTCACACATGGTACTGTGACATGAAGTGCTGTTCTTAGCTTCACAAGAATTCAATCAAAGCAAAATAAGATACTCACAACTTTTCAAAAAAAATCCCACATTGGATGACCTTTTTTATGCTGACGTGGTGACATATTATTGGTCAATGAATAATCCAACATTGGAAGATACTGTAGAGGATCCAAACCCCAACTTCTAACGACCTCATGTGCCCCCATTTAAAAGCTCACCGCCATCATTAACTGCTTAACATCATTTGAAAAGCTCTAATCTTAAAAAAAAAAAAAAAAAAAAATCACCCATCAAACTCTCTCTCTCTCACGGTGTGTTTGTGTGTGTTTAGGCATGGCTTCAGCTTATGATGCCATTGCTATTATTACAATCCTTATTGTTTTACAGCCCATGACTTATAGAGGCGGAGCTCTATCCCCATCTCTCTCTCCTTTTGTTGGTCAGTTTTTTTGTTCTCTACATTCTCTTTTTCATCATTCATTCTCTTTTGCTTTTGGGTGGTTTTGTGATGGACTGATTCATGATTAATTTGTATATTTTTTTTATGGGTTCTTGAGTTCGAAGACTTTTTGTCACTGGGTCTTTCCCTAATAGTCATACCACTTATTTTTTAATCTCTCTCTCTCTCTCTCTCTCTATATATATATATATGTGGTGATTTTGAAGAGTTGAAATATCTGATTTTGTTTGATTTGTGTTCACACAGATGAAGTGTGCAAAAAGGTGGAGTGTGGGAAGGGGACTTGCAAGCCTTCGAGTAATAGCACTTTCCTTTTTGAATGTGTGTGTGATCTTGGGTGGAAGCAGACTCGTCCTGACAATGATGATCAACTCAGTTTTCTCCCTTGTGTTATCCCCAATTGTGAGCTCTCTCTCTCTTTCTCTGTTTATCCCCAAAAAATTATGTTTGAATTTGAATTTAGAATTCCTATAATTTTGAATTTCAAAATTGGGCCTAAATCTATTTTACTGATTCAATTTCAGTATGTACATCCATATTCCATACATGACTCTTCAATAGCATACATGTATATGTGAGTGTGTGTTGTGTGTGTCTATATATGTACTTCGATATTATAAATTTAGACACTAAAACAGTATTGTATAATGTGCTTATAGATTCGTATATGAGCCCGAATTCGGAAGCCATATGAATAATGAGGGAATACCATTGTGTGTGTCGTCAAGGATACGTTGATTCGACTAACTTTTGACTAGGGTTCTTGAATTTGTATTCGGGTTCGTTTTCTGACCCATAGAAGATATAAGTATCTAAATTAGACCATATCTATCTGTTTAAGGTCTTGGATTCTTTTATGATTAACTTGGTACGAAGCACGTAGGGTACTGGCTTCGATTCTCAAGCCCCCTAGTACTTATAATTGATGTAGCCCTTTGGGCCACAAATGTCTGCAACATATATTTTCCAAAAAAATATATTTAATCTTCACCATAGGTGAAGAGGTATGTGAGACCACCTAGAACTTAGGAAATGACTGAAGATGGGACATTTCAGTTTTGGAGGCAAAGAGCCATGACTAGGAAGCTTTCGGGGATTGCTCGAGTCCATAGAAAGATCTGTTTAGAAGACACACGAGACATGAACACTTGCTCATTAACATCACCATGCAAAATTTGCATTTGGAGGTCCAATTGTTCTAATCGGCCAACCAGCCGTTGACAACAACGGAAAAATCAATATGAATGATGATTGGCTTGACGTCTAGACTAAAACTTCTAGAATTGTCAATGTCTGGTCATCACATCCTTTGATTACAAGGCATGTTCATAATCATCAATTGAGCTATTCAATTTTAATTTGATTTGAAGATCAATTTGCAACCAACCACAACTAGGATCCAAGTTTTAATTGTGAAGGAGAGTGTTGAGTTCCTCTTGCATGGCGTGACACTGTTCACAAGACTTGATCACTTGGGAGTAGGCGATTGGGCTTAGAGATGCCAATTGGTGAATATGCTATGGACTGCTCCTATCTCAATTCCGTTCCTAGAATAAAAATATTTTCGTAAACCCACCCCACCCTAGAGTTCAAACAGGTTTGGTCGCCTTGCTATGCATGATTTAAACAACACAATCTCAAATAAAATTCAAGATAGAGTTTTGTTAAAAAATTTAACAACTATAATCACAAAAATTGTTTATGGTTACGGATTCAGAAGATCATGAAAAATAATAAAAGAAAAAAAACACAAAACAAAATATCTATGTATGTATATATTTAAAATTAAATGGGACAGGTTTTGATTCTCATTTCCAACCCTGCTCCTCAATAGATTAGAATACACCCAAACCGGTTCCATTAGGGGCAGGATGGGGCGGGTGATTTGGTGGATGTTTGGTGCCAATGAGGCTTAACTGCGACGGGGTTTGTGTGGGAGATCTTGTACAAGAACAAGTTACCAATGGCACAATATTGACTTCACCTGGATCATGATATTACAAAATGAGGAATGGAGCCTGAGCAGCTGCATTGGTATCCTCAACACGAGTACTTCCCTCGATTAGTTTTATTATGTTGTTACTATTCTTAGAATTTTTCAGTGGAGTTGAGAGATGGAGCATTGTTTTCTTATAGTTCTAATCTCTATCATTCATGGACACAAACAACTTGTTAAACTAGGTAAATATAGTTTCCTATCATGCAATTGTGATTTTCATCTACTGCGCTTGTTTTTAATCCTGCAATTTGTGCGCGAGAAGTACTAGAAAGCAAAAAAAGGGATGCACAATATGCTGTTTCATGAAGAAATTATACTAAATATAGGACTTTTGTTAAACTTAATGTGGTTTCCGCTCTTGGGTTGGTTGCAAACGACATAGGGAGGTAACGTGATCATCTTAACATAAGTGGATGTGAAGTGCAAGAAAAAAAAAACACGCATTTGTCGAAGTACATCATCAACTTAAAAAGTTTATAGCAGAGGAAGGGATTAGATTGGTATAGATGTTATTATAATTTGTTCAGCACTAAGGGTGAAAATGACCTTTAAGTTGGAGGGAATGGCGACTCTTCAATCGTCTGTTGCGTCGTGGAACTGGTCAATTTAATCCCGATCAGGCAAATGAAATGATGTGCTATATTTTAAAAAATATAACAATGAAATAATGTTTTTGTTGTTTAATCCTAGTTGGTAGTGAATTTTAATCACACCTCATCATGCTAGAGGATTAGTGTTGTGATGTATCAACCTTCTTATTCATCAGAAACAGACACATCTTAAAATAAGATACAATTATTGTTGTTGAGTCTAAGATTAGAATTTTAATCGTATTCCGAATCAGGGATAGTGGCTTAAAGATCTCATCAATTAGTTTTTTTTTTTTTTCCTTATTAGATTGATGATTATTTAAAGATTTCAGTGATGTTTATACTTGCTGTTGATTATTTTCCAGGTACTCTGAACTACTCTTGCATAGAAGCGGCCCCACCTGTTCAAGATAAAGAAAGCCGAGCTAATGAGTCATTCTTCGATCGTAATCACCACAAACTAAAAGTATTTCACATTGACATCTATATTCTTTGCTCAACATTTTGTGTATTTTTTTGTTTTGTGGTCATCTAGCTTGTCACTGGACCGATTGTGGAGGAGGCACATGCAACCGGACATCACCATTCACACACTCATGCCTGTGTAGTGAGGGTTATGATAATCTACTCAACGTCACGGCTTTCCCATGCTTCAGGGAATGTAAGAACTCAAACCGACAAGTTTCTGTAATTTTTGAGTTGCAATGAGGATATAAAACTAAATTTGACATCTATACACCAAGAATAATCAGTAGCAATGTCATTCCGTAAAGATAGCAGGACTCGGTACATAAAGCACTCGATTTGTGTCTCAAAATGAAACTCTGACTTGAGTCTTGATATTTGAACTAGGTGCGCTTGGAATAGACTGTTCAATCCTTGGGATTATAGTAACAAACAAGTCAACTTCTTCAGTTACCAGCTCGGCTGATAGTTCGAAAAACCAAGGTGAGATTGTCCCTTCAAAAATGTGTTATAGATCATAAGAGCTAGCTTTTCAAACCCGTGTTCTAAATTCATTAGCATAAACAAATTATAAATTATAATCATTCACTTCTTTATTTTTCTTCTAATTTGTTTACTCTGCTCTGCTATTTTTCAGCTAGATCAGTAACTCTCCTTGATATCAATTGGTTGATTATCGTCGCGATGTCCTTGGCTTTAGTTTTGTGGAGATAGAACAGACATGAAGAAGCTAGACCAGATGGTTTGTGTAATTTTCATTATTACGTACAATAATTGATGCACTGTTATAGTTAGCTGTTTGGTTCTTATGAAAAGTTCAGGTTGTATAGATCAGCTTTGACACAGAGTGTGAACTGAACATAGCTAGTAATGACATATGATTGGAACTATTTTACTTGACATGCTGTAGACCAATTTCACTGTTATGTTGGGCTTTTTCTTTTTAGTATATAGTCCACTGCTATATGAGTAACTCATTTATTTTATTTGTCGGGGAGAGATTTTTGTTTGTTTTTTTTGTTTTGTTTGAAATATGTTTGCAAGTAAATTGTTCACGGGTTGAAATCATGGTTTGCCATATTACCCGGTTCGTAGAGATCGATACCGTTAAACTACCTCATGAATCGGCCGGTTCGACCGGTTTATACTGATATTAGCCCGAGTCTGTTATACTGCGATTGCGATCGTTACCGCAGCCAATACCGTGATTGCGAACCATGGTTGAAACAGGAATGGTTACTAAAACAGGCTGGGTGCTTTGTGGTTTAACCTAAAAGCTTAAGCTATACTCAATGACTTTCTCATCCATATCAGATATGGAACAAGACCATCTTGTGACATTCTTCCTCACCTGGGAAGAATATAGCTTATAATTTGTTTTAGTGTTTTCGCAGTTCAACTCAAAAGTTTGTTTTTATATACTCGGAGAAGACCATCTTGTTACAACGCTCTCGTTGTAGTCGGGCGACCCTGCTTATTCCGATGGGCAAACTCGGACACCTCTAGGCCAGAGGATTGGCCTGACTTTGATACCAATTGTAATGGACCAAGTGCTTCGCGATTCGACCCGAAAACTTAAGCTATTAGACGGTACTAACACTCAACTCATATAAATACCCAACCACTTCCCCCATCTAAATACGATGTGGAAACTTACCACCAATCTCTTCGGCTTAGTGTTGTCTCCTCTCCTTTCAAACTGAAAGGTAGTGGGTTTTCAAGACATATAAAAAAAAAAAAAAAAAATAGTAAGTGAGAACGGATTAAATTTTTTTACTACCTTTTTGGATTTAGGTCACATGGAGCCTGACAGATTTTTTTGTAGAATTATGTGTGTTGGTGCGTGTGCTTAATTTGTTCTAAATTTATCAATCGTTCTTTATCTTTGGACTTTGGTCATTGTTTACCTAGTTGATCTGTGATTATGTGAAAGTAAGAAAAATAATTTTGAATTAATAGAAACTAAAATTTTCTTGTAGCACGTATGCATTTGTGGTTTGGGCTAAGCCAGGCTTTGCTCGGAGGTTGGAACGTTTAGGTGGATAATGATTATCCAAACCCAGCCCAAACTCAAAGCTTGGCTCGAATCTAAATCCAATCCTTCCTCAACCCAGTGAAAACAAAAACCATTCCAGCTTTAGTTCAAGCAGGGGCAAAAGCGGAATGTTATTTGCAAAAGGTAATTTCTTTCTTGTCTATAGAGGAAAAGTTGCTTGAGATTGAACCCTTCTTCCACAAGTACCCTCCATATTAAAATTCTAGTGAGAGCTCCATTTGAAGCACTCCACACATCATTTAAAGGGTATTGTGCTATTAAAAAAAAAAAAAATAGAGGGAGCAATCACTTTGTGAAAAAAATAATATAACATCTCATACAAATATAGTTATCTTCTAGTATGTGAATTGATTTTTATTTATAATATATGATCTTTCACAACATTTTAATTCTAAATTTGCCCCTATTAAAAAATAAACAAAGAAAGAAAAGAAAAAAAAAAGAAGAAAAATATCACAATTCTCACAAATGGCAAGGCGGGGCCAGTCATCGACACCCTTATGCTTTGTTTGATTGAAGGGATAGAAAAATAGATGAAAAGTTAAAAAAAAATGATGGATGAGGCACCTAACTAATGGTCAATTGCCCACTGCCCACTGCCCACTGATAATACTATAGGTCCGTCCCTAACTAATGGTCATGCTTAACCATAAGCCCTTGAGTTCTGGACCAAAATCCTCTCCATTGGAACCGTGCTCCTGTTCTGGCCGGTTTTCATTGTAGCATCAGTAAAAAAGTTAAAATCTATATTTATGGAAATATAAATTATATACAAAATATATATGAATTATACGCATAATATATACGTATATCAGAACAGTGTTGCAGCCAATTTGAAAATTGAAATTTCAAAAGCCCGCCCTTTATTGTATCTTATTCTCCCAAAATAGAATCAGATTTTTATTTGTTACCAAAATAAGAGAGAGGTCTCATATCTTTCCTAAAATTTGTTCTTTTTTTTTTTTTTTTTTTTTTTTTTTAGATAATTGTTTCCAAAGAAACAGAGCAACTAGTACATGCTGTGAATTCTCAGATACATGAATGGCTGGAAAAAGGAAAGTTATAAGAAGGAAGAGAGAGAGAGAACAGAAAGATAGCGAAAGTATCCGGTGTAAATTATTTGGGTTTACAAAGATAAAGACTTACCTATTTTCAATATTGTAAGTTAAAGTCGTTTCCAATATATTAGGTTTGTTTTTTTTTTTTTTTTGAGTTTGTTGATGTATTTATGAGTTTATTACTGATTTGAACTACTGTTAAATGTTATATATATTGTATGGTATCTGAACCCTAATTAATGTTGGAGACAAATATTGCATTTATTATTCTTATAATTATTTGGATTCGTATTTTGTAAAAAAAAAATTTGGTTCCTTTTTATTTAATTCTGTACCTTAATTAATGTTGGAAATAAATATTGTATTTATCATTGTACTGATTCTTTAAGATCGTATTTTGAAGAAAAAATTTCAGCCCTTTTTAATGTTGGAAACAAATATTGCATAATTATTGTTCTTATGATTAATTGGGTTCATATTTAATATTGCATATGACAAAATTTTCGAACAATAATTAATGTTAGAAACAAATATTGCATTTATTGTTCTTATGATTAATTGGGTTCATATTTTGAAGAATAATTCTTAACTCTTTTTTTTATGACATGTGAATCCTAATTAATGTTGGAGAGGAATTTATATTTTTAAGTATCAGTTTATAGTTGATAATTAATAAATGGATGAGAAATTGTTCAAATTTAATTGCTAATACAAACTAGAAAAGAGTTGGGATGCACTTTGTTATACAGAATGGACCATACGTTTTTGTTTGATATTGTTTGTAATGGTAATTGAGAATTATGAGTGGTCGTAATAATTAGTAGTAACTTAACATAACATAGTTTTAATATTTAAGAAAATACTAGCCCCAAAAAAGATTTGAAGTTCATGTCTCAGTTGGAAAAAGTAAATAAAAAAATAAACTGTCACATTATTGTACGAAATTAAATATATTCATTGACTTTAATTTTTTTTTTTTTTATAGTTTTATCCTAACGTTATAGAAAATGGATTAGCTTTGGTTTGAATTTGGTTTGCAATTGAGGGCATTGGATTCTTGATACATTGTGTTTGTTTAATAATCTTAATGGGTCACAAAACTATAGTCGTAAATTTGCTGATATGAATGCAATTTATAGTTGTGGTAAATGCAAAATTGGGGAGCAACAAAAGCACTGACAAAATCCCAAATAGCCTCAATTATAAAGATATATGTAAATGAAAATGTAAGAGGTTGAAACCAACCATGGAGCTAAAGATTCACAATAAAATGAACTCAACGAAAGGAACAGTTCAGGTTAAGGTACTTTTCTCCCCTAACCATTTTCCACGTAGTTTCATAAGTAATACCATTTGTCTATTAAATAATGCACACGTAATAAATCTCATTATTATGTTGCAGAATTTCACTGAAGCCTTTGTATCCGGAGAGGCAGGTGGCAGTCAAAGTTAAACAATCCCCTACCACCTGTTCGTTACTGTTAGTATTGTTGCAACTATAACAATTTTCATATGTGATGCCACCACCACCTGCAATATTAATGGTGGTGAACTCAATACTCCATTAACTAACCAGGCAAATATGTATTAAGGTGGAACATGCATTTAAGAACGACTCCAGATGTAAATTGGATTGCATTTTGTCCCATCATCATATTCAAAGATACCAGACGTAAACAATTGCCAACCGACTGGCACGCCAATGTCCCACTTGCCAATTTTGGAGATAGGCTGACTAATTCAACAACGACTCTTTGATTCTTGACAGTCATTCAATATGTATTTAACTTTAATTTTATGATGTTATTCATTTACGTCTGTGTACTTGTAGCCTTTTGGAATTTGCATGAGTTGTTTTATATGGTATGTACATTTTGGTATATCTGGAAATGTAGCGGTTGACCGACTTTTGATAATTTTGTGTATTATGTATGTATTGAAATTAGATATTTTCTTTCGATAAATTTGTAAGACAATTTCCAAGACTCAAATAAAAATAATTGAAATACAACTCTCAAGTGATCCATTTATGCAAATAGATATGTTCTATTTATCCTTATATTTTTATAGTTAATGTCGTTAATAGTTTATAGAAAACATCCCAATAAATTTGTAAGACAATTTCTAAGGCCCAAAGAAAATAATTCAAATATAATTCTCAACTGATCCATTTATGCAAATACATATGTTCTATTTATTCTTATATTTTTATAGCTAATGTCATTAATAGTTTATAGAAAACATCCCAATAAATTTGTAAGACAATTTCCAAGGACCAAATGAAAAAAATCGAAATACAATTCTCAAGTGATTCATTTATGCAAATAGATATGTTCTATTTATCATTATATTTTTATAGCTAATGTTGTTAATTGTTAGAAAACATCTCAATAAATTTGTAAGACAATTTCCAAGGCTCAAAGGAAAATAATCGAAATACAACTCTCAAGTGATCCATTTATGCAAATACGTATGTTCTATTTATCCTTATATTTTTATAACTAATGTCGTTAATAGTTTATAGAAAACATCTCAATAAATTTGTAAGACAATTTCCAAGGCCCAAATGAAAATAATCGAAATACAACTCTCAAGTGATTCATTTATGCAAATACGTATATTCTATTTATCCTTATATTTTTATAGCTAATGTCGTTAATAGTTTATAGAAAACATCCCAATAAATTTGTAAGACAATTTCCAAGGCCCAAAGGAAAATAATCAAAATACAACTCTCAAGTGATCCATTTATTCAAATACGTATGTTCTATTTATCCTTATATTTTTATAGCTAATGTCGTTAATAGTTTATAGAAAATATCCCAATAAATT